CTGCCGACACCGAAGGATTATCCTCTGACGTCTCAAACAGCTGACCGCGCAAGACAGTATTTTCTCGACTAGAATTTTTTTGTATGAGCATTACCCCCCTTCAGCACACCGTACCAAGCTCACCCAGTATGCGAAACACAAATTACAGCGTCAACATTCTTCAAAGCAGCCGCCAGCAACTTGTTAGTCAGTATGCTCGCTGCATCTTCGAAACCGAACAAACTATGGTCGGTAAACACGGTGCGCACGCCGGAAAAATGGGAATGTAGAATAGCTTCCTGACCAAGGGAAGACAAACTAGCATGTGCATGAACCAAGTTTATGTGTTCCCGCACAGTGATGGTACGGAAGTACGGAAGAAACGTGAAGTAGTTTGGTAGGGTGGCGGAGGAGGCGATCGTCGGGAACGGGATGTGGTATACTTTCAAAGAAGGCAGCAGCCAGCGAATTCCGACACGGTCAGGAGGATGGCTGTGTGTGATTACTATGACCTGCAAGTTGTGATGAGTGGCATGCACGACCGACGAGTAACTTAGCGTGCTTTGTGTCCTCTGCGGATGAGGTTTGCACTTAGCATAAATATATGATTTTCTACTCCACCCACGTTGGGGTGGAAGAAATCCGACACCATCCTGGGATCCTGCATCAAGTTCGTTCTGCATTAACCAGTTATTTATGGGACATACGCAATAGAAAGTGCTCCATCCTCCATGCTTATGGAGCCCACAATGTAAGGAATGCGATTCAGTAGCAGCCGGGAGTCCACGAACCTTGGAAGAGTCACGAGGGACGAAAAAAGAAAACTAGTCCGGCCGAGGATCGAACTCGGAGCCTTCTGTGTGTGAGACAGAAATCATAACCATTAGACCACCGAACTGGCAAAGGTACATATTCCACTCGCACACCATAATCGCATTTCCAAGCCCCTTTAGCTCGGTACTATACAATGTACGAGTTGATACCGAGCTTAGCACAAATGGTCATGAGATCAGAATATATTGGAGGAGTTCGTGATATCCAACAGAAATAGTAACAAGATAGTTAAAACCATGAATCGACATCAGACGCTGCAACCCCCTACGACGCGTCCCGCCCCTGATCCTGTTCTGTATGGCAAGATTCCCGGAGCTCCTCTTCCAAAGCTTTCCGACCCTCGGCAGTCAAGACTGGGACACCGGAACTTATGTCCTTCTCAAAGTAATGCGGGATAAACCTGGTTTCGCGTCAATCCACACAGAAGAAAAGAGATAGCCTTGAAGCTTACTCCTGGCCCTTACGCTTGCGTTCACTTGCTTCGTCGCGCTGTCTCTGCTCGATGACCAGTTTATGCTTTGTCGCATCACTGTACTCCTTGTTAAGCAGCCTTGAAGTGACATTATCCCACAATTTCCGAGACTCGTTGGGTAGCTGCTTCTCAAGAGGACGAACGACCTTCGGCACGACTTGCAGAGCCGAGAGATCCACCAGGGTTTCATACTCCGAAGTGATTGACAGTGAGACACTTGAGCGAGACCCAGATGCTGAGTCCATCCGCCGCCAGCGAATTTGGCCCCTCCAGCACCCATCAAAATGGGCAAGAACGTACGACTGTGGTACGTGCTTAACTTTGGTCCACTGCTCGAATTCCGTGTCACCTTCATCGTATGTATGTATCACACCTTCGACAAGGAAGTGGGCCTTTCCAATCCACGACTGAACGGGTAGCCGAGATCAGACATGTTCAATCAACGCGGTAGACGCCAGCTTACCTCGTCTTTATACTCAATTACTGCCCTTAGCCGCTGCTTGCCATTTCCTCCAGTGCATGTAATGATGGTTGAATCCGCTACTGTGATGTAAAAGTTTCCTCTAAGGATTCCATTGACGCTTGCCACAGGATGCGTGACGTGGTATCTCTCTCCCTCTCCGGGGCCACCGGTGATATCAATGAAGATGCCCTTGTTGAATGAACCAGGTGTGACACGTAAGGCAGTACCTGATACCCTGGAAGATATCTGGTCAATTCCCTTCATTTCGATAGACCGTGCAGGGCATGACGCATAGTAAGCAGACACGGGCGGATGGTGCGATACCTGCTCCGTCAGGTATGCCACACGGATGTGATCAGAGCTGCGGGCCTCACCCGACCCCAAGGAGAGATTCGACATGGAACCGGAGAGCGCTTCATCGACCACGGGCTCTTCGGGGGTAAGAGTTGTGGAAAAGCCTGGCTTAATTTTGGAAAGTAGGCTGAGGCCGCTGCGAATGCTCTTGAAACTGTTCTCGCTGTGTCCGCTCTTGACGCTGACCGTCTCGAAGGGAAGTGCCGTGGTTGAGGCGGGTGCTGAGTGTGTATGCGTGGCATGAGTTCTCAAAATGGGGTGCTTGGCAGGGTCGGAGGAATATTGGACCGGAGGCACGTCCCAGTGCGAACGGAAGTGCTCTCCGAGAACAGAATTATAAGGTTTGCATACTTTGCCGTGCTGCAGAGAGGCTATTTAGTATACTGGTCGGAAAGGGTAGATACTTACAATGAACTTGAGATCCTTTGTGAATGTGAACCGCACCACAGCAACCATGCGCTCAAAGGGATCATCATGGTCATTAATCCTGGTCGGAAGTCAGAGGACGCGCTCTAAGCCGAGCTCTACGGACCGACATACGCTGCAAACAAATCAGGTCTATCCAGGTAATGCCAATATTCCAGGTTTGGCAAAGGCTCGAGCAAGGACGCGGGTAAGGAGAGGCGCCTGGTGGCTCATGCTCAGTGGTTGGGGATGCGGAGAAGGCACGACACCCACATTGCAGCAATGTCTTTCACACCCAAAGACTTCTTGACGAGCTGTACAATCATCCTAAGCCTTCCAACGTCCCCAGTATCGCCAGAATCGGAGACGGAAATGGCTGGCCCTGGAGCATCGTCGTCGACGACCACGTCCTCTGGCATCGTAGGTGTAACAGCACCCACTGTGTCGACCATAGTTTGCAATCGTGATGTCTAAAGAGTGTATTAAGGGGAGACTGGTAGAAGTAAGAAGTAAAGAATGTGGTGGGATCCTTTGTTTAGTCTAAGATCGCTAACGCGGGTGGCTCCCACAAGGAAAGCCAAGATTCGGCCAAGCACGTGCGCAGATACACTCGGTTTTGTATGTACACACATCCCACCAGAGCCAAACCGTTCGGTAATGAAATAGATGCGACATACATTACTCAGTCGGTTGACATGGACAATCCAGTGCTCACAACCTGTAACAGGTAACAACTCGATCACCTAGTTCGGCGGAGTCGTAAGCAAACCCTTCAACGACTCTACGACTTTCTTTGCGTGAACTCTCAGTTTCCCGTCGCCTCCCTCTGGTGACTCCTGTCTTGTGTATCCAAATCCAAGTTTGTCGGCAGTCCTCTGCACGGTCTCATCTGCCATCGCGGCTGCGCCCTCCACCGCCTGTTGTGACCACCAACGGAGAGCAAGATTGCGGAGCCGAGGATGATGCAAGACAGCCTCTTGGGTGTACCTAAGGAGATGGGCTCTGGGGAGCGCGCGTTCTAGGTGTGCTAATGCGGGCGCAAAATATGTTGAAGGGGGATCGACCCCATGGACCGGTGGTAAGACTAGCACGAGCAGAGGAAGAGCAAGGAACAGTATGTGCCGTATGAGGAAAAGGTTTTCATGCCACTATTATAGACATTCGTTAGGTGCTTCCAAAACAGGTGGAAGCGAAGAAGCATACCATGAAGGCATATTGGGCATCGTTGGACAACGGCACGTCACTGGCATAGGTCATGGCGTATCCTTCTGCTAGAAAAGCACAGATTAATATACCAAGCGCGGTGCTTCGTAAGTGTTCACGGCTGTTCGTAGCAGTGGTAAGCAGTAGCGACAGAGTGGCAGTCTGCAGATACTGGACAAGTATGAAGGACAAATCGAATAGCACATAGTCCCCCACGGAGGAACAGAATTGACACAACTGCATGGGAAGTTGACCGAATCTATGGAGTATGAGGGGCAGTGGCGTTCTACTAGACTCTGTGCACACCTTGTGAACAAGCTCCTGCTGCCATGAACAGCAAGACGATTGAGCAACAACTCGACGTCCTTTGGTATGGTGGCTGCACTCTGGCGCTGCCAGTCAATACCGGCTTCCATCGACAGCAGCAGTCTTAATTGATCCACGGGGACATTGAGCGGTACGTTCAAGCGTCTAAACAAGTTAGGTGGGCGATGTAGCAGAATCTGACAAAGGATGTGAATCGAATGCAACGACACTGCCAAGAGCAGCAGGCGATGAGCGACATGTTTTGAGGGATGATCTCGAGATACGTAGAACCACGATCCTAGCAATCCCAGCACGTACAGAACAGCTTCTCCGTTCGAACTGGCAGGCATAAGGACACGATGGGTCGGACTTCGGATGGCAACGAGAAGTCCGACGTGCCACCCATCACAAACTGCCAAAAAACGTTTTCGTAAGATACATCACAGTCACCTCGATTCAGACATTGTGTACTGTACCGGCCCGTTGTGGAACAGGTTGACAAACTGGCTGTCCCAACCAGATTGAGACATTCAACCAGCTTGTATACCCTCGGGCCTCCAGGAATATCACAGCGTTCCGCCTTCAGAAAGTTTGCAAATTCTGCTTGGACGTCCAATCGCGTGGGACGTTTGAATCCGTCACCATTTGTGAGGAATCCCATCTGGGCGACACACCGGCTTGGGCACCCGACTGCTGCTGATATCTATCGCTGAATATGGCATACGAGGAGTGTTCTACTGGCTATGGCACTTCGTCGTATATGGCAGGCACCGTAGTCCGGCATCAGGATTCGCTGGTTCTTCGGTTCGTTGTGATTCGGAAGATTTGAAATACCGGAACTTAGGACTACATCGAACGCAACGTGACACTGTTTCCAGTCACGCGTCACACGTGAGCTTGGTTCTTCGTGCGTGTCACAAGATTTCCCTATTTCAAATAGGAACAAAACCGTTTGTTTTCCGTCGGAATTGGAATTGCGAGATTTTTGCGAAAACGTGAATTTGTCCTCGCGGGAAAACCAAAAGCGGCTATCTGTTTTTCTGCCCCTCACCGTGAATGCAGACTGTTCTGCGACGCTTGCATGTCAGGGATGTGATGCCATTGGCTGGTCTCAACTGCTTTCGAAGATGCTGCATACGGTCTTTCTCCTCCCTTGCACTTGTACACCGTTCGCATCAAACAGCCTCGTCGCGGAGCCTCGTATTTCCATGCGACACCCCTCGCCTCGCATCATGGAAAGCGCTGTTGAAGCTGAAGCCTAACCTATCGAGTCCCGAGGGAATCCCTGACAATGAAGAGGAAGTAGCCAAGGCTGCCATTTTAGAAAAGGTCATGAAGGGGAGGCTCTCGACGGATCTCATGTTGCGCTGTATGATGCCTTCTCCTAGCGCTGTTCGCTAGACAGGCTTATGATTGCTGACATATTTGTAGGTACTATCCTTGATAATGACGGTGACTCGTGTCAATACTATCCCCATTTCCCTTGCTTATATGTCCCTTTGGACATAGGCGCTGTTAAGAGCATCTCCGGGCAGTTCAAAAGATCAGACTTATGCAATGAACATCGGTTAAACGTAAGAAACATGCACTCTGTGTCACACATCATATTGTTGTTGCTAACGTTGCCATCAAGCCTCGTGACCTCCGCAAAATTGATTCACGAATACCCAACCTCGTCCCCACCATCTTAATCCGCAAAGAGGCCATTCTTGTAAGACACGTTTTCCCGCATTTTTCCTTGCCTAATAGCACAGATAAACGTATTGCATATTCGAGCCCTAGTTAAGGCGGATACTGTCGTCCTGTTCGACACCTATGGCTCCAACGATTCCAGACTCCATTCCGCCTTCCTATATCACCTTGAGGTAAGCTGGATTTTAGCAGCTTGAACCAGGCAATTTTCCCATTGTTTGCCAAGCACAACCTCAAGGCCCGTGGTGGTGGTTCTCCCTACGAGTTCAGGTGGGCTTATATGGTTCACGCTTCCTTCATTCCAACTGTTGGATTCGATAGAGCAATCGAATCCATCCTTCTATCTGTCCTGAGTGCTCTTGAAGCCGAAATGGTTTTTATTCGTAACCTTGTTGGAGGGCTTTTAGCGGAGCTCGAAGATGACATAAACCATGACAAGTTTAAACGATTGCTTCATTACTCTAGACGTCTTGCCAGCTTCAAAAATCGCGCCAGACTCGTACGTGTGTGATGAACACTAGTCCGCGTAGAGTTGTATATTAATCGGAGCAGGTGCAAGACGCCCTCGAAGAAGTTTTGGAACAAGGTCGGCGACTCCGCCCTTCTCAATATGTATTTGTAACCAGTTCTAGATGATGATCTAAATGCAATGTACTTGACGGACAAGAAAAAGGGTATCGCCCGGCAAAACCACGAGCACGACGAATTGGAAGTTCTTCTGGAATTCTTCTCGAAACAAGTCGAAGAGATTGTCAACGAAGCAGAGAATATCGAGGTCTGGTTGCCAACGGGAACCCCTGAAATTATATTAAAGTGGCTTATCTTTACCAATAGAGCAACGTTCAATCTACGCAGGAAATCGTGGAGCTTATCTTGGACTCTAATCGCAATGCGCTCCTGGCGTTAGATCTTAAGGTAAGATTTTGCGGGTGCAACTAGGAGATCTCTTTAACCAACTACTCAGGTTTCCATTTTGACCATGGGTCTTGGCAGCGGGGCCCTTGTCGCGGGATTATTCGGGATGAATGTACGCTCCTCCATGTGACCGCTCTATTTTATTAGCAACTAACTTAACCTCGAAGCTGCAAAGCCACCTGGAAGAAATGCCTTATGCATTCGTGGCGATGACTGTTGTTTCAGCTGCTATTGCGGCTTTCGCAGCTTGGGGAGGGCTATGGAGGTAGTATATTGATACATGGGTAAATAATGATTTCCACTAACAAAGTGCTTATCTTAGACTTGCCAAGATACGGAAAGTGGGACTCACAAGTTCTCAAACGGCGAAGCGTGGAAGTGATCCAAAAAGTCGGGCGCCCTGGATACCTCTACCCCTACGCCGTCGAAATTTCAATGGTTGGTCGTGAGCCACTTTGCAAAATTGGACCTCCTTTGTGCCCGTGTCCTATACCCGGAAGTTTAATTCTAGACAGCAATGAATTTCTCGTAAATTGTAGGATCATTGTCGTGCAATCCTCTGTCCTTATCATTATGTCCTACTTCCCGACTATAGCCATACGTTTATTCTTGTCCATAGCGATTATCTGACCGTCGGGCTAAACTTATCACCACCCGATATCATAACTGATCGTCTCCGTGGATCCGTTGATATCCCCCTTGTGATATGAAAATTTATCACCCAAATTTACTGTTTCAACAGGATTGCATGTACTATTGCGCAGTCAACCTGTAAAATCCTTATGGAGAGGAATGCTACATGAAAAGTACCTAGGCTACGTAGACGGTGAAATGACGTCCAGACATGTTGCGAGTATCAAGTATAGAAACACATAGTCAATTTACAACGAAACTGTTCAAGCCTGTCCGAATTGAAAATTAAGATAACGCATTGCGGACGAGTTGGGGGTGGAACGCCGACACTTCGCGTAGTGGAGTTCCATTGATAGATAACTCATCGGCGTGAACTTCTGGTTCCGCGTAGTATCGTGGCCACGCTGCAGACTATCTCGGGCATCACCGGTAGGTGATATAGCTCAGCGCCTCTCAGCGCATGGCCTACTCCTTTGGGGGTGGAGGCAAATCTGGGATTAAATAATGTACAGGACGACCGGGCCCCAGGCTAGGTAAGCGCGATACGTCAGATATGGCCCTCGATGACATGGTCTCGGCACTGTTGGACGCAGAGAAATCTTCCCCGGATGGGGCAGTAGAACGGGAATCATTCACTTGGCCACCAAGCGCGTCATCCAATTCCGACGGATCGTAATGCGGGACAGGCTTCCGTGGCGTACGATGCGTAGCAGAACCGCTGGTTGATGCGGAACGGGTAACGGACACCTCTCCCGACCCTGCAGCATGATTTGATGTTCGTCCGATGGGAGACGTAGGTGAACGTTCAAGAGCGGCCGGAGCTATGATCGGCATCGACAGACGCTCGGTACGCAAATTCATGGAGTTTACCATTGATGACCGGATTCGCTGTGCCTGTTGTTCAAGAGCGGTGTTGGAAGTCCGCGCGGATGTTGTGCGAGAGCGAGATCTGTCGACGGCACTTCCCAGCGTCTGGATCGAGTGAATGGATGCATGACGGACGTGCGACACTGGTGCGTCGTGTGCATCGATCGCACTCATCCCAGGGGGAGAATGAGAATAGGTTGAGTGTGTTCTCTCACTCTCGCCCGCTTCAACAGCAAGATCGTCAGAATCCCCAAGGGGACCGGTATTAGATGCTTTACTGCCAGTGACGCTTTCCCCCATCCTTGAAGTAGAGTCCGTGTGCCCATGGTAGTGACGATTTGCGAAATCATTGCTTCTATGCTTCATGCTCGAAGCGTTTGAAGTGAGCGAACTCCATCTTCCCATGTTTCGCACCGAAAACCCTCCTAGGATTGGTGACCTTTTGCGGCGACGCAACCATGTGGCAAAGGCAACAATAAGTGAGACTCCGACCAAGGCACCTATGACCGACCCCACGATAACACCTGTTTTCTTGTCATTGGATGATGTTAAATTAGACACAGGGCTGGGAGTGGCTGATGGAGATGCAGTCGAAGTACTCGTCAGGCAGGATGTGTTTGAGCCGTCCGAAATATAGAATGGAGAAGACAAGGCAGTCAACGAGCCCACTATGCCTCGTATCTCGTACCAGCCTTGTGTCAAATTTACGGAGGCCCATGTCCACGTCCCGGTTTGGGCAGTGACGTTAGCAAGCGTCTGAAGGACCGTAGTGCCAGCAGAGTTCTGTCTCCGCGCAAGGCTGGCTACCTTAGAAGGATTTTGGTTAACACCAATGTTGGTGACTGCCAACACGAGATACGATTCGTTGCCACCATAATGCCATGTAATTGGTGCAGAAGCGCATGTTGTCATGTTTTGGATGGCATTGAAAGTGAGATTGGCTGGAGAGGACGACGGCGACGGAGAGCTAGTTGAAGATGTAGGGCTGACCGAGGTGGTAGTCATGGCTAAGGATGGGGACGAGGTAGCGTTGGCCTAGAGTAAGTGAACGGGTTCGCACGGAAGATGGAAACGATTGGACTCTCACTAGACACTGAAGTTGCTTTAGAAGACGAGTGTGAACTGGAAACTGGTCCAGGGCCGGTAGAGACGGCCAGAACGTGCCGAACCTCGTGCACACGTGCCGGGACCACTAGGGCTGAGGCCACAGTAATGGCCAGACACTGCCAAAGAATTAGAGCCAGCACTGACTGCGGGCGCATGTTTTCCCCTGCGAAATAACAAGGTCTCCATAATGGATGAGTTGGACCAATCAAATCACAACACTTACCTTGTACTTAGATCTCAAATGCCGAAGGCTGCATGCGGTATCACCGGATAAACCAGAATACTACGCGTCTAAGCTGCAAGGACGGTAGCGGGTCGATAAAGGGATTGGCAGACAGCCGTGAGACTCGAAGGCCAGCTGATATCTAATCGTCACGGGAACAGCTCGAAATCGATTGCAATTCTGTGTGCCAGTTGTGGCCCAAGACTCCCGTGATGCCAACAGATCCGGTCCCAGCTGAGAAACTTATGCCGGACACCGCACGGGCAACGAGAATACCTGTGCACAGTACCGCCGCAAAAAGAAGACAAGGAGGTTCGCGGAGCAGATCGTCAAACGTCAACAATCCCAGAATGTTGTCGGTTCAATGGTCTAGTGGTTATGATTTCTGTCTTACACACAGAAGGTCCTGAGTTCGACCCTCAGTTGAACCAATTCTTTTTTGACCGTCAAAAGCATATCCCTTGTCACAGTACGTAGCCTCCGTTGAAATGATGCTATGGAGAGCAAAAGGCATCATTCTTTTGACATTTGTCCCCGCCTTCCCATCTGGAATCTCGGAATCTCACAGCAAGGTTGTGGTACCTCGTGCTCACGATCATGAGCCCGCACTCCGTCCACGGGGTATACAAGTACTAATAAGTCAGATGTGCACACCTCGGGTCAGAGGGGCTTTTTTTTTACATAGTCTGTCTTAGCAACTTGAACTATATACTTTTAGGTACTCTCACCATCCTTTGAGAGTTCCTTCCAATGCCACCCGACATGTGAACGCCATTATATTAGATCTGGTACTGTTCTTTTCAGAAAACCTGGATCCCCTCGGCCGGGGAGATGTTTGTCCACCAGCGATCATCGTGTTTGGGGGTAAGCTCGCTGGTTTTAGCGATCGGATCGGACAAATCCGACCTCGGTAACGACGAGCTCCTTGGGATGATCAGATGCGGCGGCAGAGGATCAGTTCCTGCATATGCTCTGGCTCATGGGTCACGGAACTATTACATACATGCCCACAGGCCTTTTCTCTTCCTTCAATGTCAACTATTTTATGTCATAGCATGCTCTGGGCCTGACCCGTCCTCGTAATCCCCTGTGATAATTCCCCCCATCGCCATGGCCGACACTCACAGACTTCTCGAGGCAGCGAACGCTCTTTCTCAGTTGCTCCGCTCTCACTCTATACCTCACGCTTTTCACGGAAGCATTCTCACCGCGATAGTATCG